CACCCCAGGCAGCCACTCATTTATTTGTTCCCCATTTTTATAATTCTGTCATTTCAACAGTATTCTGTAAATAAGATCGTACTGTACATAACCTTTGGGGATTGGCATTTTTTTCACTCAGCGTAATTCTCTGGAGATTCATCCAGGTTGTTGCCTGTGTCAATAGTTTGTTCCTTTTTCTTGCTGAGTAGTGGATGTGCCATAGTTTATTGAACCATTCACCCACCGAGGGACATCTGGGGTGTTTCCAGTTTTGGGCTGTTAGAAATGAAGCTGCTGTTAACAGTCTCATACAGGTTTTTGTGTGAATGTAAATTTTCATTTTTTCTGGGACAGAGACCCAGAAGTGCAGCTGCTGGTATGTAGGTGGATGCGTGTTTAAAGAAACTGCCAAACATGGCTGTACAACTTTACATCCCCACCAGCAGTGAATGAGTGATCGATTTCTCTGCATCCTTGCCAGCATTTGGTGTTATCACTATTTTTTATTTTAGCTATTCTAATGAGCATGTAATGATAATTCTCTGTGGCTTTAATTTGCATTTCTCTAATGGCTAATGCTGTCAGACACCCTTTCGTGAGCCTCTCTGCCATCTGTGTATCCTTACTGGTGAGTCATCTTCATGTCTTCTGCCCATTTGCTAATTCATTCCATTGTTTGGGTTTTTACTGTTGAGCATTGAGAATGCTTTATGTCTTTGAAATGTTAGTCCTTTGTCAGGTGTGTGGTTTGCAAATATTTTCCCCCAGTCTGTTACTTTTTATATTCTTTACATGGACTTTTGCAGACGAGAAGTTCTTAAAAAAAATTTTTTTTGTTATTATTTTTAAAATTTTGATTGCTCTGGGTCTTCGTTGAAGCACACAGGCTTTTCTCTAGTGTGGGACACAGGGGTTTCTCCCATCCAAGTACTAACCAGGCCCGACCCTGCTTAGCTTCCGAGACCAGATGAGATCGGGTGCATCCAGGGTGGTATGTCCTTAGACTAGGGGCTTCTCTACTTGCAGGCTTCTCGTTGTAAAACATAGGCTCTAGAGCGCAAGGCTCAGTAGTTGTGACGTGCGGCCTCTAGTTGTGGTGGTTGGGCTTAGTTGCCCCACAGCATATAGGATCTTAGTTCCCCAACCAGGGATCGAACCCATGTTCCCTTCACTGGAAAGCAGATTCTTAACCACTGGACCACCAGGGAAATCCACCAGAAGTTTTTAATTTTGATGAGGTCTACTTTATTAATTTTTCCTTTTATGGGTCATGCTTTTGGTATCCAGTCTAAGAAGTCTGTGCTTAGCCCTAGATCTTGAAGATGTGTTGGTTTGTTTTCTAAAAGCTTTGTTAAGGTTTGTGTAAGTGCGAAGTTCAGATGGAGGTTCATTTTTTTAGCATATGGATGTCCCATTGTTCCAGTACTGTTTGTTGAAAATGCTGTTTTTCCTCCATTGAATTGCTTATAGTTCTTTGTCAAAAATAAGTTACAACAATGAAATACAGCTTCACACCTACCAGGATGGCTATTATCTAAAAAAAAAAAAAAGAAAGAAAACTAACGTGTTGGTGAGGAGATAGAGAAATTGGAGCCCTCATGGATTGCTATTGGAGATGCAAAATGGTGCAGCTGCTGTGGGAAACAGTTTGGTCGTTTCTCAAAAGGTTAAATATAGAACTACCATATGACCCTGCATTTCAACTCCTAGATACATGTCCAAAGAATTGAAAGCAGAGACTTGAACAGATATTTGTACACTTTAATGTTCATAGTTGCTTTATTCACAATAGCTTAAAAGTGGAAACAACCGAGGTATCCAGCAGATGAATGGATAAACAAAATTTGGTGTATGCATCCAATGGAATATTATTCAGCCATAAAAAGGAATGGGATTTACATGCATTTTTACATGTAAATTTACATGCATTTTTACATTTTTACATGGGGTTTACATTCCAAATGTATGTTAACTCCTACGAAATGAATGGACCTTAAAACATTATGCTTAGTGAAATAAGCCACACATAGGAAAAATATTGTAAGAGTCCACTTATATATTCCACATAGAACAGGCAGATTCACAGAGAAAGAAAGCAGAATAGGGGTTACTAGGGGCTGGGGGGGGAGGTGGGAGTGGTGAGCTAGCATTCATGGGTACAGAGTCTTTGCTGGGGATGATGAAGAAGTTTGGAGCATGAGTCATGGTGGTGGTTATACAACATTGTGAATGCATTCAATGCCACTGTAGTTTATACTTTAGGATTAAGGTTGGTTAAAGTCATAGATAGATACATAGTAGTAACTCTGTCATGTCTGACTCTTTGCTACCCTAAGGACTGTAGCCAGCCAGGCTCCTCTGTCCATGGTATTCTCCGGGCAAGAATAGTGGAGTGGGTAGCCATTTTCTTCTCCAGGGATCTTCCTGACCCAGGGATCAAACCGGGGTCTCCTGCATTGCAGGCAGATTCTTTACCGCCTGAGCCACCAGGGAAGTCATTATGTATACTGTGTAGGCGGCAGTGACCAAAACCATCCCCAAGGAAAAGAAATGCAAGAAGGCAAAGTGGTTGTCTGGGGAGGCCTTACAAATAGCTGAAAAAAGAAGAGAAGCTAAAACCAAAGGAGAAAGGGAAAGATATACCCAACTGAATGCAGAGTTCCAGAGGATCGCAAGGAGAGATAAGAAAGCCTTCTTAGTGATTAGTGCAAAAAAATAGAGGAAAACAATACAATGGGAAAAACTAGAGATCTCTTCAAAAAAATTAGAAATACCAAGGGAGCATTTCTTGCAAAGATTGTCACAATAAAGGATAGAAACAGTATGGACCTAACAGAAGCAGAAGATATTAAGAAGTGGCAAGAATACACAGAAGAACTAGACAAAAAAAGATCTTAATGACCTGGATAACCATGATAGTCACTTACCTAGAGCCAGACATCCTAGAGTGTGAAGTCAGGTGGACCTTATAGTAAGTAGTACTACAAACAAAGCTAGTGGAGGTGATGGAATTCCAGCTGAGCTATTTCAAATCCTAAAAGATGATGCTGTTAAAGTGCTGAGCTCAATATGTCAGCAAATTTGGAAAACTCAGCAGTGGCCCCAGGATTGGAAAAGGTCAGTTTTCAGTCCAATCCCAAAGAGGGGCAGTGCCAAAGAATGTTTCAACTACCATACAGTTGTGCTCATTTCACATGCTAGCAAGGTAATGTTCAAAATCCTTCAAGTTAGGCTTTAGCAGTGTGTGAACCGAGAAATTCCAGATGTACGAGCTGGGTTTAGAAAAGGCAGAGGAACCAGAGATCAAATTGCCAACATCCATTGGATCATAGAGTATGTATGTGCTTAGTCACTCAGTTGTATCTGACTCTTTGCGACCCCGCGGACTGTAGCCCGCCAGGCTCCTCTGTCCATGGGGATTCTTCAGGCAAGAGTACTTGAGTGGGTTGCCATGCCCTCCTACATGGGATCGTCCCAACCCAGGGATCGAACCCAGGTCTCCCACATTGTGGGTGGATTCTTCACTGTCTAAGCTACCAGGGAAGCCCTTGGATCAGAGAGAAAGCAAGGGATTGCAGAAAAACATCTACTTCTGCTTCATTGACTACACTAAAGCCTTTGACTGTGTGGATCACAACAAACTGGAAAATTCTTAAAGAGATGGAAATACCAGATCACCTTACTTGTCTCCCGAGAAACCTGTATGCGGGTCAAGAAGCCAAAGTTAGAGCTGTACATGGAACAGTGGACTGGTTCAAAATAGAAAAAGGAGTACAACACGGCTGTATGTTGTTACCCTGCTTGTTTAACTTATATATAACATCATGCAAAATGCCAGGCTGGATGAATCACAAGCTGGAATCAAGATTGCTGGGAGAAATATCAACAGCCTCAGATATGCAGATGATACCACTCTAATGGCAGAAAGCGAAGAGGAACATAAGAGCCTCTTGATAAGGGTGAAAGAGGAGAGTGAAAAAGCTGGCTTAAAACTCAGCATTCAGAAAATTAAAATCATGGTATCTGGTCCATCACTTCATGGCAAATAGATGGGGAAAAGTGGAAACAGTGATAGATTTTATTTTCTTGGTCTCCAAAATCACTGCGGACAATGACTGCAGCCATGAAATTAGAAGACGCTTGCTCCTTGGAAAGAAAGCTATGATAAACCTAGACAGTGTATTAAAAAGCAGATACATCACTTTGCTGACAAAGGTCCATATAGTCAAAGCTATGGTTTATCCAGTAGTCATGGATAGATGTGAGAGTTGGACCATCGAAGAATTGATGCTTTCAAATTGTGGTGCTGGAGAAGATTCTTGAGAGTCCCTTGGACTGCAGGGAGATCAAACCACTGAATCCTAAAGGAAATCAGTCCTGACTATTCATTAGAAGGACTGATGCTGAAGCTGAAGTTCCACTACTTTGGCCACCTGATTCGAAGAGCTGACTCATCAGAAAAGATGCTAATACTGAGAAAGATTGAAGGCAGGAGGAGAGGGGAGTGACAGAGATGAACTGGTTGGATGGCATCACCAACTCAACGGACATGAGTCTGAGCAAACTCTGGGGAATAGTGAAGGGCAGGAAGGCCTGGCGTGCTGCAGTCCATGGGGTCACAAAAAGTTGGACACAACTTAGCAACTGAGGAACAGACAAGGTATATTTTACCACAATGAAAAAAAAATCAGTGTTTTAAAAACCAGTTGGGTGTATTTGTGTGGGTCTTTGGATTCTCTGTTCCATTCACTGACCTATATGTTTTTCCCCAGTGTCTTGATTACTATGGTTGTACCCCAGGCCTTACTATCGGTAGAAGTGAGTCTTCGGGCTTTATTCATCTCTTTCACAATTGAGTAGTTCTGGGGCCTGGCATTTTTGGAGCCGCTCTGATGCACCCTTGTGTGAAAGACTGCAGTGTGACCTACCAACTTTCAGAGTCACCCTTGGCACCTGCCTTGCCCTCGGCCCCCACATCTGACTCATCGACAGGAGTTGCATGTTGTGAGCAGACACACCTCTGGTCTGGGGCCCTCCCTCCATTCCAGGCCGTCGCCGCCTTCACCAGTTGCCCGGAGCAGTGCTTCGGTCTCGTCACCTGTCCCCACATCCACTCGGGCCCCCTTCATCCCGTCTTCAAACACAGCAGCCAGAGTTATGTCTTCCAGATGCGGGCCATCCTCAGCGCTTGCCTTGGCTCCCCCGCCTCCCCTGGTGGCCTGGCTCCTGCCCTGCCCCACTGTGCTCTCATCCCTCCAGCCGCCCTTCTCAGCTGGAATTTCACATTTCACTGGGCGGTCATGGACTGTAAGCCCCAGGGGGCAGGGACCATGCTGCACCCCTGCCCCAGCCTGGGCGGCACATGGTGGACACGTGTTCTATTTCTGTTGACAAAATACAGGAAGGAATGCGAGATGGAACCCATGATTGGGGATGGTGGTGGAGAGATGAGGCTGGAGAGGTGGGAAGAGCTGGTGTAGGTTTACAAAGGTCTTGACCCTCCCAGAAAAATAGGCAAAGGCTTTTTTTTTTTTTGGCCACGCTGTTTGGCACGTGGAAATTTAGTTCCCCAACCAGGGATTGAACCCCTTGTAGTGGAAGTGCGGAGTCTTAACCACTGGACTACCAGGGAAGTCCCAAAATCAACCTTTTTTTTTTTTTTTTTCATTTTTGTCTACGTCATGCGGCATGTAGGAGGCAAAGGCTTTGAAGAGACTGTTAGCAGAAAAGGAGTTTGGTAACTTTTACAGATTTAAAAGGATGCGCAATTACTGCGTGCATGCGTGTCAGTCACTAAATTGTGTCTGACTCTTTGTGACCCATGAACTGTAGTCTACCAGACTTTTCTGTCCATGGGATATCCCAGGCAAGAATACTGGAGTAGGTTGCCGTTTCCTTCTCCAGGGGGTCTTCCCGACTCAGGGATCGAACCCCAGTCTCTCACGTTGGCAGGCAGATTCTTCCCAGGTGCTGAGCCATCTGGGAAGCCGGCAATTGTAAACAAGACCAAGAGGGTCCAGACTTCACCTGTCTGAGTGGGGAAGATGGGAGGGTGTGACAGCTCCCTGGGCATGAGGCCAAGGGAAGGGCTGAGAGCAGCTTGGCAGTCCTTCTGGTAGGCCCTTGGCCCAGAGACATGCTGGCACACCTGTGAAGTGTGTTTTCACTGCTGCACCATGTGTAAGAGCAAATGACTGGAAGCCACTGACCTGGCCCCGTGGGGACTGGCTCTAGGCATCGTGGCCCTTCCACGCAGCTGCTAAAGCAGCAGGACTGTGCTTTGCAGAGATGGAAGCCTGCAAAGATCATTAGACATATCTATTTTTTTTTTCATTTAAAATCACAATTAGCCTACATGTGGAAAGCACATAAAGTTGAAATGTACAGTATGACCAATTACTTTAAGGGGAAGACCCACATAACCCCTTCCTCCAGTTGAAGTAACAGATGGTGCCAGCCCCCGCTCCCCGCCCCCGTCCCTGGAGGCAGCCTCTTCCCTGACTTTTGAGGCAGTCGCTGCCTCCCTTTTCTCTTCGGTTTTGCTCCCTCTGTGTGCATCCCTAAGGAGCATATTTCATTTTACCTGGTTTTGAACTCGGATGTGTTGGGTTTTGTTTTGCTGCTTCTTTTTTGATACCCGTCCACACATGGCTGTGGTTCACTCGTTCTCACCGTCGGGTGCTCTTGTGTGGGGCTAGTGGATCACACAGTTCATTATCCGCCTTCTGTGGGCGAACATTCGTGTTGTTTCCAGTCTCTCGCCGATTCAGACTGTGCCGTGTGCGCCTCCCCATGTGTGTCCCTAGGGGCGGATCCAGGAGAGCACTTGCCAGGTCCCCAGCATGTCTTCACCTCCACTGGACGCTGCCAAATGCCTCCTGGTGCCCGCGGCGCAGAGGAGCGCCTTGAGAAAAGCGCTTGAGAAAAGCAAAAGTGCAGTTTTGTGTGTGATGTGCTGCCATTTATGATTTTTTTTTTAAGTTCAAAAGCACCTGTGTGTGCATGTGCGTCTCTGCACATACACACACACACAGGTATGCATAGGCTCTCAGAAAACAACAGAATCTCTAGTAGAGGCGACTCCACGGCTGAGCTGGGGCAAAGCAGGAGGGCGCCAACCTGTCAATGTTTACCCTTCGGTGCTACTGACTTTTGAACTATGTTCCATATTATAAAGAGACAGAGACTGAGACAGAGAGAAGGGAGAGAAGGGGAGGGGAGAGGAGAGATGAAGCCTAAATATGGCAGAACTTGATAGTTGAGAATCTGAGTGATGGATCTTATGCGGGTTCGTCTATCTTTTGGAGTATGTTTTAAAGCTTTTATTATGAAGATCTGTTCTGGTGTGAGAGATTCTTTTTTTTTTTTTCTCCCTTTGGCTCTGCCGGGTATTTAGTTGTAGCATGCAGGCTTTTAGTTTCGATATGCAGTCTCTAGTTCCCTAACCAAGAATTGAACCAGTGCCCCCCTGCATTGGGAGGATGGAGTCTTAACCAGTGGACCACCAGGGAAGTCCCTGTGAGAGGTTCTTGAACAGACCTCTCCTTGCCCCTGAGGCCTGTCCCCAGGAGGACCCCTTGTCTCCAGTGAGACTTCCTTTTGGAGGAGGGGTGCTCCCTCCTTCCCCCCCTCCCCTGTCCCTTCCCGTGGGACCTAGTTTCCCTGGCTGGTCAGACCTACCCAGTCCTGACCGCCTCCCTCACCAGAGCCCAAACCAGCCGGTCCGGTTTGGGGACCCGCCCCATTTGGCTCCTGTCTGGGTGGCTGCCTGACAGGTGCTCCACTGTGCCGGGGGAGGGGGTAGCCTGGGACCTGGGGAGGGGGCCCCGAGACCTGCCCTGCAGTGGCCCCAGGCTCAGCTGGAAGCCCCTGGCTTAGTGAGCAGGTGGTGGACAGAAGGGGTAGATGGGGTTTCCAGGCCAGTCAGGCCTCCTGGTCCACGTGACAAAATGGCCTGATAAAATACCCGCCCATTTAGGGCAGTGGTTAGCTAAAAAGACTTCATGCATGCTAAGAGCACGCCCCGGCCCAGAGGAAGTTCTCCAGAAAGTCAAGCCACTTATTTTCAGAAGGGTTAATTACATCCCGGCCAGCCAGCCAGCATGGCACACAGAAGTCCCAGCCCTCTCCACTTTGTCTCTCCCCATTGCCATGGTCCCCGTCTTCCAGCCCCCCTCACACCTAGACCTGGCAACGGCGGCGGGGGTTTCACCGTGATCTCCCCTGGGGAGCCTGCAAGTCAAGTTCCTCCTGATGGGCAAGGGGGGGCGGAGCAGGAGCGCCCCGGGCACTGTGCCCTCTGGAGCTCTTGCTGGAATCGCAGCCTGGGTGTCAGGGGACACAGCAAGCCCCAGATCTCCCACCACCCTTCTCATCAGAGAGGCCGCTCATGCCCCATCACCCTGTCCCGCCCCACAGCCCTGGCCAGTGTTTCACACCTAACTGGCCCGGCAGCCCCTCTCAGACGCGCAGCCCTGGGCCGTGTAGCCCCTGCTCCCCTGGCGCCTCGCCTGGCCTGGACGTGAGATGGGGGCGTGCCATGGGGGCGTGCCTGTGTGGTGGGAGACCGACCCTGCCCCTGCCGGAGCAAGGGCAGTGGTTGGGTCCCCTCCCTCCACGGGGACAGTTGTGGGCCACATGGCCCAGGCTTTCCAGGCTCAGCCCCGCCTCCCTCCGCCCTGCCCTCGGCCCTCCCCCTCCCGGGGGTTAGAACCACAGCCAAGCCCAACTCCTGCCAGGGCAGGGCCGAGTTGCCAGCCGCTGCCAGGGCGGCTGGGGCGCAGAGCCCAGCCAGCTCTCCTCGGTGGGCCAGGGGAACCCCTTGATCCCGGCTCCCTGCTCGGTTTCAGCTGGGAGCCCCCTGTCTGCTGGCCTGCCCCACTGCAGGCAGCCCAGGCCCGAGGGAGGGCCGAGGATGGTGGAGGTGAGCTGGCCCCAGCCTCGGGGAGGAGGGGGAGGGCAGTCACCTGAGCACATGCTGGCGAGGGGCCACACCTTTCTCGGGGCCCGGGGCGGGGTCGCCGTGTGTGTTTCCGCCTCGGAGACGGCAGGTGTCTGTCTGCTGGGACTTAACGCAGGTCTCAGCACAGGTTCCCCTTCCACACACACACACCCCCCCCCCGAGCGTCTCTGGGAGCGTGTTCTTGGGGTCTGGTTTGCGTGGAGGTGGTTCCGAGGGGTCACTGGGTGACCACGGACTTGGTGGTGTGTATGCCTGGGTCTGTGGTAGGTCTTGTTACCCACTGTGTGTGGATCCCGTGGTCTCCCTCTGTATCAGGAGGGCTCCTAGGTGGGTGGGGTCTTGGGGTCTGCCTTCCTAGGTGAGTCCAGCCATCATGCAGTGTCTGGGATTGTGTGTGTGAATGTGTGTGAGTGTGTTTGTAGGTGACGGCTTCCCCCAGGATCCTTGTATGCGTCTCCGGGTCTCTCCGAGCCCTTGCGTCTTTGGAATGTATGGCTCTTTACACTGTTTGTGGAGGGACTTCTGGGTCCTTAACTTCTTGGGGTCCCGACCGTGGGTCCCCAGTGTTGCAACCCTCTGTTCTCAGGGCTTCCTCTGAGCCAGGCCCCTCTTAAGACTGTCCCCGCCTTCTCCCACTCTGACTGGGCCCACCTGCTGGGCCCGCGTTCTGAGGCCTGAGCTGAGGCTCAGGGCGGGCTGGCCCTTCCTGTGCCCAGGCTCCCGCTGTCCCGTCTCGGGGCTTTGCCGTGTGACCAGAGTGTGTGTCCTGTGGTGTGGGGTTGTGTGGCTGGACGCCCGTGCTGGCGTCTGTGTCAGTCTATGTGCGCTAGGGAGCGACCTCATGTGCTCTGTATCTTGGGGGAGGTGTCTGTGTGGGAGGGGGAAGGACTGAGGTTAGGGGGGCCGGGGAGGCCTCTGGAGCCCCTTTTCTACCTGCCGCCCCCTCCCTCCTTCCTGCCCCGCCTCGGGGGAGGAATGAATGAAGTCTTGATCTGGTTTCCCCAGTCTCCGGGTCTCACGCACACTCAGGTTTGTTACGGCATACATTCCCCTCCCCAGGGCTGAGGGGCTCCAACAGCGCCCTTGGTGTCTGTGCCCCCTGGAGGCTGGCCGGGGGGCAGGGGGCCACGCCTGGGGCTGCCACAGGAGCCGCCTGGCCCCCCAGGGGGCTCAGAGCACCACAGGGTAAGGGAATCACCGTCTGGTCATTCAGCCACATTCTCTGAGCTGTGCCCTGACCTGTGCTGGGCAGGGTGGCCGAGATGACCCCAGGGCCTGTCCTCCGGGGGGACACAGTCTAGCGGCCCTCAGAACGTAATGAGGGCCCATTACGCTCCCCCATCCCAGCCCTGGAGGAGGAAAGTCTTAACAGAGACAGTAGCACTGGCACACCTGCTCTGGGGGACCCTGCTCTGGGGATCCTCTTTCCTTCATCTCTTCCTTTATTGGCTTGGAAACAACAGCAGCGCTGATAACCGCAGCCAGCCTGTAGTAGTAAGGACCCACTTGGCGCCAGGCACCGTTCTGAACACTTTGCCAGATCATCTCTTTCGATCATTCAAACACCCTCTGGGGAGAAAGGGACCGTCATGACCCCCAGTTTGCAGACAAGGACACGGGGGCCCAGAGTCACGAGCTCTCGGCCCACAGCCTGACGGTGGTGGAGCGGCCACAAGCCTGGGTGCCCACTCTTCCTCACCAGCTGCCCTCGGAGTCCTTGTCGGCAGAGGCCTGCGGTGTGGCTGGAACACGGAGAGCAGGCTGCCCCTCGCTTCCCGCACAGCCAACTCCAGGCCCTGCTCCCCCAGGCCAGGGTGGCCCTGGATCTGTGTCTGTTTGTGGGATTTCACCCCTCGTGGGGACTCACGGGTCTCTGGCAGCATACCCCCTGTGTGATGTACCTCTAGCCGAGGTTTACTGCCACTTGCTCAAATCCCCCGCCTAGGCTGCATGGTGGGAGGGCCTGGGGAAGTGGGCTTACAGCTGGGCACCTCTTGTGTTTGGAACAAATACCAGGTTATTTGCTAAATAGCCAGACTCAGACTCTAAAGAGGCCCAGTTCCTTTGCAGGCGTCAAGGTCAGACTCCCAGGCGGTGTGGACAGGGCTTGGGGACTCCTGTCTCACCCTCTGCCCTGCTCCTCCCGGGGTCCAGCCTCATCACCACGGCAGTGGCATCGCTCAGTCAACAGCACAGCTGTTACCGATGCCTGCTGTGTGCCAGGCCTCACTCTAGCTCCCTGGGGTGCAGCGAGAACAAGACAGAGACCCCTGTTCTTGGGGAGCCACCGCTCCTCTGCTGGGGGGCAGGGGCCGGAGGCAGGACCTGTGGTCAGCCAGTGTATAAAATGCCGGATGGTAATAAATGCCACGGAGAAGTATAAAGCTGGGGTGCAGATTTTGTCGGGGGGTCAGGGAATGTGTTTGCACTGACCCGATGGTCGAGGAAAGGTGAGCCGTGCGGCTGTGGGCCGAGGGAGCAGTGGGTACCAAGGCCCTGAGGCTGGAGCAGGCTCTGTGTGTGTGTCCTGGCCTGGAAAGGGGCTCGTGTGGCGGGGCGAAGTGTGGGGAGGAGGTGAGGCCCCGGGGTGGGCGGGACCCTGCTCGGTCCCAGTGGGGAGTCTCACCCCCCGGTGGGGGGTTTTGTTTAACCTTTCTTCAGATTCCCTCCTAACCACGTGGCTTTCCTGATCTTGGTTCTGGTCATCCGAGGCCGAGTTGTCTCTTGTAAGTGTTCTCGTCCCTTAAACCTCTAGGTCCTGCATCTGGAGCAGAAGCTTTGGCAGGAGCCAGGGTTGCTGGGAGGCAGGAGGCTAAGGGGGCAGAGACAGGTCTTCTCCAGGGGGGCAGAGCGGACACTTTTGTGCCCCAGCGCTGGGCAGCCCTGGCAGGGACTTCCCATCTCTGGGCTTCAGTTTTCTAGCTTGGGAAACAGGAGAGGAGAGGTCTCTCCACCCGCACACCCAGGAACCGCCTGGAGGGTTTAGCATGGTCAGAGTCAGCACTGAAACACGTGTGTCCCTTCCACCCACCCAGTAACCACACAGGGCAGAACCCTGTTGTTGGGACCCAGTGATAACAGCTGGAACACGTTTCCTGCCCACTCCGAGCCACCAACTTCGCGGGGAGACAGCTGACACGCTCGTGAGCATGTAACACATTAGGTGATGCTAAGGGCCGGGAGAGAACGGGCTGGGTGCCGGGCTCTGGGGGATGCGGCGATGGGTAAGACCAGGCCAAGCCCCCAGCCCCAAAAAGCTCACGCTCCAGCTGCTACAGAAGCTGCCCATTCCTCCTGCCTCCACAGGCCCCACGTGGCCCATCCACCCTCTTCTGCTGGCCTCACGCATCCTCCTCCTCCGGGCCTCCCCGTTTCTGCCCTGCTCACAGCCTTCCTGCGGCTCTCAGGTAAGAGCCAAGTCCTCCCCATGGCCCTCCTTCCTCACCCCGTGCCCCCCGCCCTGGCCACTCGGTCTCCACTCTGCTCTCTGGCCTCCAGACCTTCGCGCTGGCAGTTCTCGCGGCCGGGGCCCTCCCCCAGGGGCCCTGCTTCTCTCCCCACCCGGGCCCCTGCTCTAGCGTCACCTCCTCTGCGAGGCCCTCCCTGACCGCCGCACTGAAGGTCCCCATGTCCCCTCACCCTCCACAGCCAGCTTTCCCCTGCTCTTTTTCTCCTCAGCACTCACCATCTGACTCGCTCGCTGGCTCTCTGGTGTATCTTGCCGTGAGCTGTCTCCTTTCCCCTCGAATGTGAGCTTGGCAAGGCCAGGGACATCCCCGGCTCCCCTGTCCTCTGCTGAGGGCCCTGCCCCGGGCCTGGCAGAGCTCAGCTCTCACCCGACAAGGATGATGGAATAGATGGCGGGTGGGTGTGATGGGCCCTTTGTGGGGAAAGCAGGTGTCTGCCAAGGAGAGGGCTTGGGCACATGTCCGTCCCAAAGCTTGAGGCGGGGTCTGGGGCCAGGGTACCTGAGGATTCCCTGCAAGGACTAGGCAGGAGGAGAATGGGGGGCCGGGCCCGTGGATGGGCAGCAAGAGCTGAGCAGAGGCATGAGGGGGAATGGTGTAGGGCTTCAGGGGGCCGTGAGAGCCTGCGGGGCTGCCAAGGTGAGCCAGACCCCCCTCCAGCGTCAGAGCACAGCGCAGGGAGGCAGGCAGCCAAGGGGCCTCTGGAGCCACGGGGTGCAGATGATGGCAGAAGGGTGAGGGGGCCGGTGAGCGCCTCTCCGTCGCCCGCTTCCTGCTCGAGTTCCACTTGAGTGACTAGGAAAGGGTGGCCGTGGCCCCTGCCGCGTCCTCCGCTTGGGCCCCAGGGCCCTGGCCGAGTCAGCACCCTCCATTGCTCGGTGGGGTGGGGGCAGTTTTATTCAGGGCAGGAGGAAAGGAAGCCTGCGCACACACGCACACGTGTACACACGCACTCCCGAGCGCGGTCACACTCGCGGACCTGGCTCCTCCACGGGCACTCGTTTCCTTGGTGTGGGGAGCTGCAGGGTGGTGCCAGTTTTTCTCACGGAAGGTCAGCGGGCAGAGCCTGGGAGCTCAGGGGGTGACTGGAAAATGGGAAGGCTTTGCTCAGACAGGTTGGAAACTGCCCATCCCACGTGTGAAATCATTCACAAGTTTTTGTGTTTTTTTTAATCGAAATGAACATTTTAGAGTAAGATAAACATGTGTCTGCATTGGGGGAGCAAACTGAGCTTCGGGCATCTCTGCCCGGGCCGGTGGCTGCAGGCTGCGCCCTGTCCTCCCGCCCGTGTTCCGCATCTTCACCCTCCGCCTCTGGGTTCCAGGCCTTTCTCCACCAGAGAGAGACCCTGGGCAGAGCCTGAGGTGTCTGAGCAGGGGTGCCCTGTAGCGCGTTCAGGTGAATGTATTCATTCACCAGATGTTCTTCAACTGCCTGCCACACCACGCTGTAGGCATTGGGGTACAGTGGGGAGCTCGACAGAGGTCAGGCCCTGCTCCCCTGGAGGAGCTGACATTCTCGTAGGAGCAGACACTGAAGAATCACCCACACACACAGGGTTACGTGGTGAGTGCAGTGGGGAAGAATAAAGCCGGGAGGGCACTGAAGGCGTGGGGACAGGAGCAGGGACATTCATGCATAGACTTGGGTGGAGACAGGGAGGGAGGGAGCTATGTGGAGATCAGTGAGAAGAGAGTTGGTGGGGGGCCAGCTGCCAGAACAAAGGCCCTGAAGCGGGGCTTGTCCAGGGTGTGAAGAACAGTGAAGAGGCCGAGGTGGCTGGGGCAGAGGGGGCGAGGGGGCCTGTGGGAGGAGAGCTGACTGGCCGATCGTGCAAGACCTCCTGGGCCACGGGCCAGAGTTTAAGGATGTTGACTGTGCGGTGGAGCAGCTGTCTTCCATGCCCACCTCTGCTTGGTGACCGTAGCAAGAGATTTCACCTTTGTGAGCCTCAGTTTCCACAGCTGCACAATGGAAGTGAGGTCAGCCACTCCACAGAAGTCCTGGGGAGACAGTGAGCTCAGCATCAGCGTCTCTGCAGGCTCAGGGTCCCCCACGGTGGTGGAGGTGGTGGTGTGGGTCATGGGGCTGAGCCGCAGTAAACCACGTTTGGTGGCCGGCACTGGCTCCTGGGCTGTTTTCTCGCTGCAGACGGACGTGCCAAAGGCCTGTGGAATAGGCAGGGGAGGAGCCCCGGGCATGGAGAGTTGGCGGTGGTGGGTCCTGTTTGTGCTGCCTCCCACCTACCGCTGGGGGCCTGGGCAAGTAGGAGGAGGAGCGACCCACTCCGCCAGGACGGGTCAGGGCAGGAGAGAAAAAGCAATGTGGACAGAGGAAGGGGAAGGAGGGAGGAAGGGACAGAGACCGGGGACAGCCTTGGAGTTGATAACGATAACGACACAAGCACAACCACAGCACAGGCGAGTCTCCCAACTGCCCGGGTTCAAATCCTAGGGTTCCCCTCGCTGGGCCTCAGTCTTCCTACCTGTGAATTGGGGGTGGTGGGCATGCCTGTCTCCCAGGTTAGGGGCGAGGGTGGAATGCGATTAGACACAGAGCAGGCCCTGGGCACACACGTCTCTCCAGGGACGCGGCTGCTGTCATTCCGAGAACTGGCGGGGCCCGGACTCAGGTTAGACCAGCCTGGTGTCTTGAGTCCACTCTGCGTCCCAAGCTGTGTGTGACCTGGGCCAGCGAGTGCCTGCTCTGTGCCTTATCTTCCTTGTCTGTGACACAAGGCCCAAGTTGGCCCCTTCCTCCGGGGTCGGGCGTGCAGATTCCGGGTTCAGTGCTTAGCAGAGGGGCCGGCAGGACCGGTGCTGCTGTCACGGTGACCGATGTGTACCGCCCGCTCTCTTGTTGTGTACACCGGCCCTGGGGCCAGGCCATCGTGCTGGGTTCTCTGTGACTGCTTGCAGGAACTCCTGGAAGCAGGTACTGTCTCGGTCCTCTTCTAATAGAAGAGGAAACTGAGGCATAGAGCTGCTGGCCCAGGGCCACGTGGCATGCTTCCACTGTGGGTTGGCTCAGCCTCCCAGCAGAGCCGGCCTCCGGGCTCTGGGCCATCTGACTCCTGAGTTCTGGGCTTGCCTGAGAACCCAGCGCTCACTCCTTGACACCCCGCTGCTCCTGGCCAGGCACCCCCCTTCACATGTAGCAGCTCCTCTCCCTCCCCCCGTGGCCCCTGTAAAGTCAGGAGCTTGGGGACTGATGGAGGGGTTGGGGAGCCAGCGGTGAGAGCTGCCCCGGGGTGGGGCTCCCGCCTGGCCACTATAAACACGGCCAGTTCCTCTGTTTGTCCTGCCCTCTCTGCAGCGCCCAGAGGGAAGGGGTGGCCCCAGGCAGATATCCGGAGGTGTGCCTCTCTCATCCCCCTCTGCGGGGGGCGGGGGCTGGGGGGCCTGGGGACTCGCGGGTGAGCATTCTGGGTTGGCTGCCCCCTCTGACAGGCTGCCTCCTGCCCACCCTGTCTAGGTGCTGAGCTCCTCCCTCCCCGGGTTTAGTGAGGGGTCACGCGGCTAATCCTGTCCTGCAGAGGGCTGGAGCTGACTTGGGGCCCGCCAGCTGCGGGCTGGGGGGCGGGGATGGGCAGGCAGAGTGAGAGGCGAGGAGTGAGGCTGGGCCTGAAGCCAGGCGGGGGCAAATCTGGGCAGACAGTGAGGAGGCAGTGGGACCAAGGCGGGCAGGTGAGCGGGGCGCACGCCTGGGCAGATAGGGGAGAGTCGGGGTGTAGGGGCCAGGAGCGGAGCTAGAGCTGCAAGAGAGGTGAGGGCAGAGAAGCCTGGAGGGAGAACGGGGTCGATCAGGGTCCCCGAGGCCTGGGAGGGTGAATGGACAGTGTTCCGGGGGCTGGAATGGGGGAGCTGCATTGAAGGGGCTCCCAGCTTGGTGGGGGTAGGGAAGGGGCTGGGGCAGAGGGCGCCCCTCACCCTGGCCAGGTCTGTTCCCCTGGCAGAGCCCTGGCCCTGGCCACCTGCTGGCCAGGAGGCCCAGGCCAGTTGAGACAGGTTGGCTGCTTGGGTCCCCACCCGCCTCCCACTGGGCTCCCTCCCGCCGCCAAACCGGTTCTCCTGGATGGCTGCCCACCGATAGTCCCACCTCTGGGCTGGGGATGGCGGCCTCTCCGCCCTCACGCCCTGCTCCTGCAGGAGAGAAGCCGGAAGGACGACCAGGGGCTGCTGGGGCCCGCATCGCGGATCCGCTCACAAGTGTCCTCACCGGGTCACGAGACTGACTGCACTGGGGCCAACCCCGCCCAGGCATTGTGCCAGATGCTGAGGACCCAGCCCTGAGCCAGACAGAAATCCCCACCCAGCGCACTTCCCCTTGTCCTTGGGGTCTTAGTTCGCACGAGCCCTTTGCTGGGAAGCCTCCCGTATCCCCACCCTGCCATCCCATCCACTCTGTGACCCCAGCCCTGACCATTCTGGGCCATCAGAGGCTGTCTGGGTCACCACTCTGTCCCTCACACCGAGCAGCACAAGGCTGGGCACAAAGGAGTGAGTTGCTGATGGACGGGTGGGTGAGTAAGCACAGGATGTTTTCTTCCCACTTTACAGATGAGTAACCCGAAGCCCCAAGAGGAGATATCACCCGCCCAAGGGCACTTCTAGCACAGCCAGCAACAAAGCAGGTCTGTGGGGCTCCAGGGGCACATGTGTGGGACCAGGGTTGGGGGGCACAGCACCTGGGCCCCTGACACAGCTGGAAGTCATCCTCATCATCAGAAGAGCAAACGCCGACTGGGTCCTCCCTCCGAGCCCTGCTCAGTAATTAACTCATTAATCCTCCCAGCAGCCCCACGGGGGTCAAGCCGAGGCACAGACAGGCTAAGTCACTTGCCCAGGGTCACACAGTAGGTGACAGAGAGAGATTTGTGCTCTGGCCATCTGGTTTCCCTGCCCTTCATGTCTCTGGCCCCCGCCGTGGGACACCACCATTCCGCATGTCCCCTTCAGCCCCTTTGGTTTTTAAATTCAGCTTTCATAGGTTCAGGAAGACCCCCTGGAGAAGGGCATGGGTACCCACTCCAGTATTCTTGCCTAGAGAATTCCATGGACAGAGGAGCCTGGCGGACTACAGTCCACAGGGTCACAAAGGTTGGACTGAGCGACTTTCACTTTCATTGAGCGTTTACTGCTGCTGTGCCGGTACTGTTGTGAGTACCGGCCTGGAAACCACAGGCCCTAAAGACAGGGGCAGTTTACTCTATTAGGATCCTTCAGGAAGTGGATCTTGCCCCACTCTGTGAGGACCTTGCCTCCTCCAAGCCTCAGTCTCCTCGTCTGTAAAGTGGGAGTGTATTAGCGAAGCTGCTTAGGAGTCACATATCGGACAGGAGCTTGGTAACCATGTGTTGAACCAGTATCCAGAGGTCTGTGCTGTTTCTAGCGCACAGTCCAGGCTGAGAAAGCAGGCACAGAAGTGGCAGGCCTTAGGCACCAGTCACAGAGCACATACTGTGTGTTGGGCGTGGGGTGTGGGGCTGAGACACCAGGAAACTGGGCAGATGAGACCAGGCCCATATCACTGAGAGTTGTGATGGGCGTTGTAAACACTGAACTGTAAACACAAGACTAACTCTGTGTGTGTTAGTCACTCAGTTGAGTTCGATTCTTTGTGACCCCGTGGACTGTAGCCGACCAGGCTCCTCTGTCCATGGAATTCTCCAGGCAGGTACACTGGGGCAGGTAGCCGTTCCCTTCTCCAGGGCATCTGCCTGACCCAGGGATCAAACCCAGGTGTCCTGCATTATGGGCAGATTCTTTACCATCTGAGCCACCAGGGGAGCCCAAACATAAAACTGAGCAGCAGTTTCCAGAAGTTAAACATGCTGTGAGCTGGGATGGAAGGACGGGGGGCCTGGGGCACGTTCAGGAGAGGAGTCACCAGTGACTGGCACCTGAAGCGGGCGGGAGTCAGGCGTCAGGCCCCACAGAGGGAACCGCCATGGCAGAGGCCCTGAGGTTCGGAAGCCAGTGTGAGCCAGAAGAGCTGAGAGCAGAGAAGTCCTCCACGGGGAGTGCTCGCCTTTTTACCTGAGTGGGGTGGGGCCGCCAGTGGGCTCCGAGCCAGGGGCCTAACTTGAGCGTTCACAGGGTCCCTCGGGCTGCAGGTGGGGTACGGCTGTGGAAAGGGTGGGGGAGTGGGGAGACCAGGGAGGAATGGAGGATGGAGGAGAAGCAGCAGGTTCTGGCGAGCCGCCCCCTTCCGCAGGCCTGCCGGCCGGAGCCCCAGTCTACACCCTCTCCACGCAGAGAGCCTGGCGCCATGTTCGGGAAGAAGAAGAAGCGGGTCGAGATCTCGGCGCCGTCTAACTTCGAGCACCGTGTGCACACGGGCTTCGACCAGCATGAGCAGAAGTTCACAGGGCTGCCCCGCCAGTGGCAGAGCCTGATCGAGGAGTCGGCTCGCCGGCCCAAGCCCCTCATCGACCCCGCCTGCATCACCTCCATCCAGCCTGGGGCCCCCAAGGTATGCCAGCACCTGCCACTGCCTCTCCTGACCTGCGCCGACCCCCGTGGGGTGGGTGACCCCAGCCCTCAGCCTCACACTTTACCCTCCCTTGCTGACCACCAAACAGACACACCCCAACCACACCCCCCATCCTCACCTTTCACTCACCAATCCACCACTGATCCCTCACCTGGCACCAGCACCAACCCACCTTCCCTTCCTGAGAAGCCCCCGCTGACCTTGACCCTCCGACGGTCCCCCACGCCAGCCCCAAGTCGTTCGTCTGTCCTGAGCCCTGTGCTCCTGTCCCCAGGACCACAGACTCGTCCTGGGTCTTAGCAGGCCTCCCGTCGCAGGCAGAGGGACAGACCAGTTCCCATGTGGTGACTGCCGCAGTGGTCAGGGCTAGGCCAGGAGAGGCCCGAGGGGCCGTCTGACCCAGCCCCGGGGTCCAGGCCAGCTTCCTGGAGTCAGGGTCACCTGAGCTGAGCCCTGGGGGCGGAGGCCAAGGAGGAGTGACTCAGGCAGATGGTGGAGAGCCAGGGCTTGTAGTGGAGGAAGCAGCCTGAGTGAAGCATTGGGGGTGGAGAGAGGGGGCGGTTTGTTTTTTTTTCCCTGCCATCTTAAGCAAACAGTGCCGAGCTGGGATTTGAATCGAGGTCCATTTCCAAGGCCCATGCTCTTAACCCCATTCCTGTTGCCATGGTCTTGGCCCCCAGGCGTGGCCTGTGGTGAGGCTGGTCTGGGGGCAGGGTGTGTGGCCCCCGCAGCCTGCGAAGCCAGCCTCCGAGCATAGGCTTTACCCGAAGGGCAGTGGGAACCAGGAAGGGCAGCCTGGGTTGTTCCGAGGGGCGGGGGTGGGGGTGGGTGGGCTGGTCAGCAGGCCCGGGGCTGACTCATGCTCACTGGTGCCCTGGCTGCCATGCCCAGCCCAGCCCTGCCCAGCCCAGCCTGGTGGGAGGAGCCCCAGGCCAACGCTCTCCTCCAGGGTCTCCCACTGAGGTGTTTGTACGCCCCAGGCAGGGGGCTTGGGATCCTTTGAATTCTTTGCCACTGCCTAGAAAAGCAAGATTTTACATCCAAGTCTCTGTTTCTGCCTTCTGGTGAATCGGCCAGGGCCACTGGAGGGGCAGCTGCCTGCGCAGGCAGGGTGCCAGCTCATCTGGGCCCGCTGGCCCCACCCGCCCACCTCGGTCCCACCCGCTGCCAGGCCCTGTGTCTGCATGCCTGCTGGTTATGCCCTCATTCAGGCACTTCCTAAAAATCCTCCCCAACCCCCCAGGGATTCCTGACCTCTTACTCCAGCACCAAAGCCTGAGCAGGTGTCTGTCTCCCTTGTTTCACTGGGCGCCTGGGGCAAAACCAGGCTGCCCTACTAGCAGCCAGGGTCCAGGAGAGGCAGGGGGCAGGGGCTGGCCCACAGGGCACAGTGGCCTGTCGGTGGGTTTTGCGGGGTTCGAGTTTTCTGCACATTTGAGGCAGTGCTGGCCTCAGGATGTCTGGCAGCCCATGGACCTGCCTGCCAGTGACTGATGCCCAGGACTGGGGCCTGTGCTCTGCTCCGGCAGCCCCTTCCCAGTTCCCAGCCTGCCGGTGCCTAACTCACTCACTCATGGACTCAGCAGGTACTTACTGAGCACCTTATGCATACCAGCCACTGTTCTAGGCGTTAGATGCAGCCAGAGCAGAAGCAGCCAGGGAGAAACAGTGGCCACCCTCCCGAACACTGCACCAGGGGAGCAGGCCACGGACAGCTGTACACAGCCTTCACGTCCGCTGGTTCTAAGTGCTCTAGAGAAAAGGAAAGCAAGAGAGTGGAATAGGGAGGGTTCGAGGCTGGCACTTTAGACCACAGGAAATCAAGGAGAGTCTGCAGCAGAGATCTGAAGGGGGCCGTGCACTGGGGAGGGGAGCCCCGAGCAGGCAGAGGTGAAGGTGTTCCCGGCAGAGTGAGCAGCCAGTGCCTGAGGTTGGGGTATGTCTGGTGTGTTTGAGGAGCAGTTAAGAGGCCCTGTGTGCCTGGGACTGGTGGGTGAGGGCCCCTGGGGGGAGCCTTGGAGGCAGTGACCTGGATCAGGATAGTGGCCATGGCAGGCAGTGTGGGCCTGGGACAAACTTTACGTTCGCCTTCCCCCACACCGGCCCTCGGGCTCTCCTGCCCTCTGCTCCGGGCCCAGACCTTTCTCACTTTACCTTCCCCACCCTCAGCCTCCGTGGGAGCAGAGAGCGTGTTTGGGGCTCATATCCCTGCCAGGCTGCAGGCAAGGAAGTGCCAAGCTGGGCCCTGGCCCCCGCATCCTGTAATTTGCAGCTTTCCAGGGCTTATTATGGGCTGGCGTGGCCTCTGCCCTCCTTCCCCTCCACCCCGTAGGGCAGGGACCGCCCCTGCCCCCCAAGCCTGGAGAACTAGGAAGAGCAGGGGGTGCTTCTCCGAGGGGCATCCTGGGAACCTGTGCTCCCAGCCCGGGGTCAACAACCCAATGGGGGGTGCAGGGCAGCTCGGTGCTGGGGGAGGGGCTGTGGGGGCCTCCCGGGCCCGCCCCCACCCTCCCAGCCCACCATCACCCCATGGCATTTCTTCATTGCGTCTCTGTCTTGTCTCTGTGCGTGTTGTGTTGTCCTGTCCACCTGTGTTGGATGCCCGTCCTGTGTCCCCCTCCTCCTTGCCCGGCCCCCACCCTGCCATTGCCCTGGACCCCAGACCATCGTGCGGGGCAGCAAAGGCGCCAAGGATGGGGCCCTCACGCTGCTGCTCGACGAGTTCGAGAACATGTCGGTGACGCGGTCCAACTCCCTGCGGAGAGACAGCCCGCCGCCACCTGCCCGTGCCCGCCAGGAAAACGGGATGCCCACGGAGCAGGCCGCCATGGCCAGAGGGGGCCCAGAGAAGGCGGGCAGCCAAGGCCGGGGGGCCGGTCACGGCGAGGCGGGTGGCAGCAGTGGTGACAGGCGGCGGGCGGGGCCGGACAAGAGGCCCAAGTCTTCCAGGGAGGGCTCAGGAGGGCCCCAGGAGTCCTCCCGGGACAAGCGCCCCCTCTCTGGGCCTGACGTCGGCACCCCCCACCAACCCGCCAGTCTAGCCAGCGGGGCAAAAGTGGCAGCTGGCCGGCCCTTTAACACGTACCCGCGGGCTGACACGGACCACCCGTCCCGGGGCACCCAGGTAATCACTCCCCCACCCCAGGACCCCTGACCGTCGCCTTGCCCACCCTGTTCCCGCCCACCAACTCCAGCCCGCCCCAGCACACTGTCCATCTCCATCTTGACCGCCATATGTCTGTCCCGCAGCCAGGGTCCCTGTCCCCCAGCCCCTCCCCTGACAGCCGCCTCTCTTTTCTGTTGCAGGGGGAGCCTCACAACATGGCCCCCAATGGGCCATCAGTGGGCGGCCTGGCCGTCCCCCAGTCCTCCTCCTCCCGGCCCCCTGCCCGAGCCCACGGCGCCCCCAGCCCTGGAGTGCTGGGGCCCCACGCCTCTGAGCCCCAGCTGGCTCCTCCAGCCCGTGCCCTCGCCGCCCCTGCCGTGCCCCCCGCCCCCGGGCCCCCCGGCCCCCGCTCACCACAGCGGGAACCCCAGCGAGTGTCCCATGAGCAGTTCCGGGCTGCCCTGCAGCTGGTGGTGGACCCCGGCGACCCCCGCTCCTACCTGGACAACTTCATCAAGATCGGTGAGGGCTCCACCGGCATCGTGTGCATCGCCACCGTGCGCAGCTCTGGCAGGCTGGTGGCCGTCAAGAAGATGGACCTGCGCAAGCAGCAGCGGCGGGAGCTGCTCTTCAACGAGGTGGGCCTGCCGCCCCGCTCCCCCTGGGGCTCCCGCCTCCCCCCAGAGCTCCCTGCCCCCCCTGCTCCTCCTGGGGTTCCCCTGCTCCCCCCAGGGCTCCCCCACCTGCCCCATTCCTCCCGGGGTTCCCCGCCTCCCCACCTGCCCCTCCCGGGGCTCCCCTACCCCATGGTTTAGAGGGCATGCAGGGCTGAGAACTGGGAGAGGCCCTGTGGGGCTGGAGTTTGCCAGGCGTGGGTTCTGAGCCTAGCTCCTGTCTTCACTCCTCACGCCCCCACAGGCTGTCTCCTCTGTCCCCACGATACCCACTGCCATGCCATCCTGTCCTGGCCTGGCCAGGCCAGGCCCCAAGCCTCAGCTCCAGGCCCCGAGCCCCACTGACCCTCTGCGTGCCTTCCAGCCCCTCACCACCAAGTCCCATGCTGGCCCCACAGTGTTGACCCCAAACCTGCCTCTCCTGGTTCCCCATCTCAGAGAGGTCCCACCACCCCTGTCCCCAGGCCAGGGCCCTGAAGCTCCCCGCTCACACCCCAGCCCCTCAGGCCTGAGCCTGTCACCCTTCCCCCACGCAGTGGCCTGCCGGAGCTGCGCACAATAAGCATCGTGTCCCCCACCTCCAGGCTTTGCCTTGCTAGGCCTTCCTGCCCCTGGAATCTAACCCCCACCCCCGCCTTGTGTCTGAGCTGCCTGCTCGTCCTTCCAGTCTCAGCCCTGTGCTTAATGCTCTCGTCCCAGCGCCCTCTCCCAGTGCCAGCCTGGCCATCAGGGCCACTCGCAGACCCACTCAGGGCTGATCAGAGATCAACATCAGCAGTGTGAGGTGTGCATGGGGTGGGAGCACCCTGGAATAGAATACAGATGTCAGGCCCCTCGCTGCCTGTGGGTCTCTGGGCTTCGGCCGTGGGAGGACAGTCCCTGGACTGGACCCCGATGAGCAGAAGTGGCAGGTGGAACTGGACCTGCAGTTTGGCAGGGCCCCCACCCAGGCCGAGAGGGAGGGCTCTGGCAGCAGGGGCTGGTGGTCCTCCCTCCGCGGTGCCAACCCCGCCTCCCGCGTGCAGGTGGTGATCATGAGGGACTACCAGCATGAGAACGTGGTGGAGATGTACAACAGCTACCTGGTCGGCGACGAGCTCTGGGTGGTGATGGAGTTCCTGGAGGGAGGCGCCCTCACCGACATCGTCACACACACCAGGTCAGTCGGGCAGCTGGACGCCGTGGCACCCAGCCTGCTGGGTCCCCAGAGTGCACCCAGGCCTCTCCCATGACAGGACTGCTCTCCGCCAGACCCTTGGGGCGGGGCCACATCTCAGAATCAACCCGCTGTCCCCATCAGACCCCAGGGCGGGGCCCTGTCTGCCCCCCTCACCCCCCGCCCCGCACCTGCCTGCCCTCCCAGGATGAACGAGGAGCAGATCGCCGCCGTGTGCCTGGCCGTGCTGCAGGCCCTGTCCGTGCTCCACGCCCAGGGGGTCATCCACCGGGACATCAAGAGCGACTCCATCCTGCTGACCCACGACGGCAGGGTGAGCAGTGGTGGGGTGGCTTGGCCTCCCCTGACTTCTGCCCAGCTCTCCCCCTGCATGTAGGGTGGGCCCGACCCCCAGTTCAGACCTTTGAGGAGCAGTACGTGTATTCCTTCCTTGTGCATCAGTCCAGAGTCAGGGGTCCAGGTGAGTGGGGGGCTCTGCCATCATCAGCCCCAGCCACTGAGAACTGGAGTCTAGCCCTGGACCCAGAAAGGGGAGACTGCATCTGGGTGGCCGGCCACAGCTCTCAGCCGTGTGAGAACCTACTCCTGGCCTGGCATCCAAGACTGGGCCGTGGACTCTTGGTCCTGTCTTCTGGACCAAAGCTCCGAGTTTGCAGTCCATGGATGAGCCTCATGGTCCCAGAACCTGCATTCATATTCCAAGAGTGGATGTGATTTTTCAGTGGGAGAGGGCCCTTGACTTTCACCAGATTCTGGTGATCTGCCTGCGCTCCCCCAGGAAAGTTAAGTTAGTTCACAGAGGCGGGGGGGTCGGGGGAAGGCTTTGCTTCCCAGGGAGTCTCGGTATGGGTCATAAACACTTGAAGATTCTACAGACATGTTTGGGGGACACAGGTGAGCACAGAACTGTATGTGCACTGTGTGAGCATGCTCTCTGGAGGGTCCATTGACATCCTCAGGAGTCTGAATAGGGCCCATAGTTCCCAAGAAGGTGTGAATCCTTGGTTCTGGGGAGGTGGTTGTTGCAGAGGGACAGGCAGCATCGCTCTCACCCCCTGCCAACTGAAGACATGCCGCCTGCCGGGAAGCCAGGGCCCAGGGCACGGCATTGGGAGCCAGCCCCGGTCCAAATCCCTGCCCAGCCTCTGGTACCCACGGGACTCAGGCTGCCTCCCCCAGGAGCCTCAGCACAGACCCTGTCAAGGAGGCAGATGTGTGATTTCGGGCAGCTGACACAGCTGAGGGCCCCAGCCAGGAGATGGCAGAGTTCCGCCGAGGTCAGGCTCTAACCTCGGGTGGCATGTAGAAACCCAGTGTGTCAGAGGCTGAGGAATTAAACAGGTGACCGCCTCTGCTCATTCTGCCCCGCCAGCACCTCTGATCCCCACTTTTGCGCCCTGTTCCAGGTGAAGCTGTCAGACTTCGGGTTCTGCGCCCAGGTGAGCAAGGAGGTGCCACGGAGGAAGTCCCTGGTGGGCACGCCCTACTGGATGGCCCCGGAGCTCATCTCCCGCCTGCCCTACGGGCCAGAGGTGAGCCAGAGGCGGCCGGTCACCCTGCTATCAGCACTGGTTTATGCTGTCGCAGTCCAGAACAGCCAGAGTGTTGGGGTGAGGGGGCTTGGTCACCAGGGACAGACTTGCCTGCGTGCACTCCTCACCAACTGGGTTCTAGTTCAGAGCCAGCGCTTGGCAATGGGAACAGGAGGCTGGGCAGAAGCGGCCCCGGCCCTGCCTGTCAGCCTGGGGCAGAGGCTTCAAACTGGCTGAAGCGCTCTGAAGATGCTCTTGCAAGCATTTTTTTAAAAAGAGTTCTCATGTGAGTCTGAGTTTGATCCCCTGTTGTGAATCCAAGTGATCTGGGCACAAGGAGGCCACATTCCCTCATGGCAACACTCAGGTGCTGAGGAGCAGGGGGACCTTCATCTTGGTCACAGCCCCCACCCATTGTGTTGCCTACACTGACCTGCTTCGCTCCCTGCTATTCCCTGTCTGGCCCTGAGGTCTTCCAGCTATGGCCTGTGCCTGTGACGACAGTCAGTCAATAAGACTTGACCCAGTGCCTGGCCAGGGTGCCCGTGGAAGCATAGCTTGGGGAACTGCAGGCAGGAGTGGGGTCACATTGGGAGGGGAGGCCGGTAGCAGATTCTGAGGGACCATCTCCACCAGGACTGCCTGTGACAAAACCTCTCAAGACGGATTTAGCAAAGTGGAAAAGTGTGGGTCCCTAGGACTGAAAAGTCGGTAGGGGCGCAGGCTTCATGCCCAGCTGTCTGTGTGCAGTGTCCCTCCTGGCTCTGATTGTCCCCGAGTAGTCCTCACTCAGGCAGGTGCTGCCCCCATCAGAGCAGAAATGACCCTGGCAATTTCAGGACGCGTCTCCCTGCCTGTGAGCACTGTTCTCCTGACTGTCTTGCTTAAAGTCTCAGGTTTGACTGTGATTGGCTCAGCTTGGGTCACGTGTCCGTTCCTGACCCAATTACTGTTTCTGCACTCTGCTGATTAAGACAGCTTGATCATGCACCATGGACTGAAGTAGCGAGGAGGGGGTTCTCCAGAGGAATCCAGGGGCAGGGGGAGGGGGTAGCAAAAAGAAGGGGATGGATGCAGGGTGGGCAGAACCCTTCAGAGGGTTCCCTGGGTGAGGAGTGCATAGGGTCTGGCAGGCTGAGTATCAGTGTTCAGGGCCCCAAAACTCCAGAGTGAAGAGGCAAAGATGGAAGCAGGGCCACCCGTCTGTGGGTGTCCCCCAAGCGCTGGCCACACCCACACAGCTCAGCCCTTCTGCCCTGCCCCCACCACAGGTGGACATCTGGTCTCTGGGGGTGATGGTGATCGAGATGGTGGATGGGGAGCCCCCTTACTTCAATGAGCCACCCCTCAAAGCCATGAAGATGATCCGGGACAACCTGCCTCCCCGACTGAAGAACCTGCACAAGGTGGGCCCTCCCACAGGCGGCGGGTGCGGGGGAGACCACACATGGGTGGGGGGAGGGCACCACCCAGCCCCGAACCCACGGACAGCTCAGGGTGTGGGCAGGACGAGGCTATTGATGGCTCTAAGGAGGTGCTTACTGCTTGCCAAGTCACTCCCACGTCCCCCAGGCCTCGAGTATCTGTGTGGACTGTGCCCTCAGCCCCTCAGAGCTTGTGCTCAGGCTGGCTGGCACGCACCGCAGCGAGGTCCAGCAGAGGGGCCTTCCTGGTGGGGAAATTGCCTGGTGAAAAAGGGGTGCCTCCAGGGCCCAGCTGTTGCCAGCTCCTGCCGAATCATGAAGGTGGGGAGGCGGTGAGCCCCTGGGGCCAAGCTGTAGATGCTGAGGGCCTCTCTGCCCCTCCTTGGGCAGTAAATGCCATCAGCCCTTGGGTCGGAGGAAACCGGGGGCCTGATGGCAAGTGAGCAGTGGAGCCGCTCACCGACCCTCCCACCCCCTCCCGACAGGTGTCACCATCCCTGAAGGGCTTCCTGGACCGCCTGCTGGTGCGTGACCCGGCCCAGCGGGCCACGGCGGCCGAGCTGCTCAAACACCCGTTCCTGGCCAAAGCGGGCCCGCCCGCCAGCATCGTACCCCTCATGCGTCAGAACCGCACCCGATGAGGCCCGGTGCCACACCCACCCCTGAACCAAAGAGCCCCCTGGGTCACCCCTGCCCGGCCAGAGGCCAGTAGGGGGGCCGGCCCCCGCTCCTCCCAGCCCCGGAGACACTCCGTGTGGCGCCACCCTCCTTGCCGGGGGGTGTGCGGGACCCTACTACTGAGCTCCGGTTTTGATTTTGTGACTTTGGAAGAAACACAGGGACTCGTGGGAGCAAGTGAGGCTCCCAAGACCCACCCCCACCCCCCCCCACCCTCTGGGACAGGCCCATCCCCCGGGTTTTCCTGTTTCCAGGAAGGGCAGGCGGCCTCCCATCACTGGAAATCTGCCGTGGGGGCTGCCGGGGGTGGAGACAACACTACAAAAGGTGTGCGTGTGTGTGTGTGTGTGTGTGTGTGTGTGTGCGTGCGCACGCGTGCATGTGGAAGGTCCAGTTCCGGTGTCCTCCAGCCTGCAAGTGGGGGTGTCTGAGACCTCGCCTGACACGCAGCCCCTCCCCCCGAGCCATTGCAGGGGTCGATCATGAATGTCTGAAGAGTGGCCTTTTCCCTCGCCCCGCACCCCTCTGTGTGGCTGGACCTGGGATCCAGGGGGCGGGGCTTCCCACCCACCCCCAGCCTCTGCAGAACATGACTACTGCACCTGGACATCCTCCTCTTTTGTAGAAGTCTATTTATATTGCCATTTTATAACACTCTAGCCCCCATCTGGGGACAGATGGTCCTTGGCCCGCGGGTGGCTCCGGGGACAGAACCACCGCTTGAAGAATCAGGTTCCTGGCCCCTCAGCGCAGCCCCGCCCTCCCCTCCCTAAGTTAGTTTTACAATTAAAACATTTTCTTGTTTTGTGTGTGTGCAGTGTGTAGAACTTCCCCCCAAACCCCAACCTGCTGGTGGGGAGAGCTGGTGGGGTGGGGCTCTAGGCTTGGGGGTAGGCTTGGCTGACCCCAGGATTATAGACCCACTATGGGCCAGGGCCATGTCTCTGGCAAGGAGTGGGGGGGAATTCCAGCCCAGCAGCCAGTAATGCGCCTTCTCATGGGGACCGGATCGACGACCCCAGGCCTGGAAAGGCAGCCAGTTGACCAGTCCACATGCCAGGATGACCAGCTTGCCATGTCTGCGGTTTGCTGGAAATATAATGGTTGGGTGGAGCACATTCAGTGGAGAACTGATCCTTGGGAGCTGATGTTAGGAAACTGGTCAGCAGGCAGATGGGCTTTGGGGGGATCAGCTACAACAGAGGGACCCAGGGCTGCCAGCCTCAGGAACACTCCATTGGCTGAGTCCTTCCCTCCAGGCTGAGGCTGGGGAGGTGGGGGCTGAGCCTGGGTCTCAGGAGGAAAGCCGGCTGACAGATGACACCGCTGTTTCTGCATTCTGTGCCCCAGGCTGGGGTGGGCTTTGCACACACCCTCTCCAGCACCTGGGAGAGCAAGGAGGGAACCCCCCACCCAGAGCCCTCCAGGCATCAGTGGCAGCAGGGACCTCAAGCTGGTGTGTGGGCAGACAGTGTGGAGAAGACCCAGAGAGTCCAGCTTAGTCCTGTCTCACCCCCACTGTCAGCACCTGCCCCCTTAGCACCCCTCTCCACAGGCCCTGAGTCCCCCAAGAATCAGGGCTCTGTTTGTGTGACCACCTGGCTGAACACATGCATGATAGACAGACAGACATAGAGATTTAAAACAGCAGTACTGCCAACTACTGCTGTATACAAGTGTGTTTGAGGCCTGGGTGAGATGGATACATTTTCTATGGGGGGAAAAAATATATATATGCCAAAATTGGTGTGGGGAGCACAAGAAAAGACTGAAATACGCCCTCCACAGCCACCCCCTGACAACACACACACACACAGAGCTTCAAACTGGAGTACTTTTACAAATGGATTCCACCCGACAGATGGATCAGGTAATTCCCACCTTATACAAGTTGTTACGGAAAATAGAAAAAAGGATAGCTCTGGGCTCCTTGCAGAGGCTGCTACGCCCCGAGCCAAGAGCCAGATAAGGCCCCGAGCCAAGAGCCAGAAGATGGCTGTCTCTTCCTCAAGGTCCTGTGTGATGAACTCACGGGATACCCAGAGAGCTTTAGGTTCAGGGACGGGAATCATCTGCCCATCCATTGCGTGATGGGGGCAGCTCTGCATGGTTCCATGGAGACTCCACTGTTACTGTCACCTTCAGTCACCATCACTGCTGTTTCAAGAAGGGTCTTGGGTGGTGTGAGGGCATCTCCTCCTCCAGACCTCCCTCCAGGTACCACGCAGACAGGGTGCCCAGGGTATCAGTCAGCCTCTGCAGTTGTTTCCAGTGGGGTCCGGGGGCAGGGAGGGGCAGGGCTTAATCCAGGGGGTTGGTTTCCAAGGCGCTGGGAAGACCAGAGGACCCAGCCGTGCAGTGGTCAGTTGCTCCATTGTGTCGCTTTTTGTGACCCCATGGACTGTAGCCCACCAGGCTCCTCTGTCCATGGTATTGTCCGTACAGGAATACTGAAGCAGGTTGCCATTTCCTCCTCCAGGGGATCTTCCCAACCCAGAGATCGAACCTGCATCTCCTGCATTGCAGGCAGATTCTTGACCGCTGAGCCAGTGAGCCAGCCAGCAGTTATTAAAGGCAGGAGACCGCCGCCTCCTGGAGGCTGGAGTAACAAAGGAGTCAGTGGCAGGACCAGAATCCCAGAGTGGGTCAGCTGTGGCTGGAACGGGGTTGCTCTCCCCACTTCTACCTTCTGCTCCCACTCCAGTGCCTCCTACCGCCAGGACCTCACTGATGTCCACTGACAAGGGAGTTCTACAAGGAGTTTTCAGACTTCCCGCCTCTACAGTACAAGGGAGCTCTTAGAAGCGCAAGTCGGGCAGAGTAGCAGCGGACATGTCCCTCCCAGCCACGTGGCCTGGAGGACTCCCTCTGTCCACAAGATACTGACCAGGCACCGAGTGAACGTTGCCTCCGCTGCAGCAGGGGGCACTCTGGGTGCTGGTCTGAACTGCAGACGCCCAGGAAGGGGAGTCAGGGATGTACTCACCTGTGGGTCAGACGTGTGTTTACACCGATACAAAATGAGTGATTGAAACAAGTCGGACTGGTGGCTCTCAAAGTGTAGTTGCTGGGCCAGCACCATCCCTGGGAACTTGCTGGAAATGCAGATTGCTAGGCCCCACGCCAGGCTGAATCAGAGACTCTGGGTGGCGCCAGCCATCTGTATTTTAACAAGCTTTCCAGGGGATGCGGATGCCCACTCAAGTTTGAGAACCACTGAGATCCACAGTTGCTCTCGGTAAAAGGCCAAGGAGCGTGGGACGCAGCCCTGCTCACTCATCAGGGTCCCAGCCTCCTTCCACCTTGCGGCTCCTCCATGCTAGGATTGCGGCCCCTCCCACGTGAATAGGAGGGCATGCCCCTCCCCTTTAAGGATGTAACCCAAAGGTTTCCCCGTGGCCCCTTTGGCCTGAGTTAGTCACACGGCCACGCTCAGAAACAAGGAGGTTGGGAAATGTAGTCTATTCTGGGCGGCTGTGCGTCTAAAACTTCTATCACTACCAGATCTTGCTGTTCACTAAATGCACCAGGCTTCACCGCAGAACACTCAGAGGCAGACCCAAGTGTACGCAAGAGCAAACGGATGGGGGGTGGGGGGAATAGATTGCTTAATAACGATATTGAGGAAATTGGTTCATCTTCTAGCAACCCACTCCATTGTTCTTGCCTGGAGAATCCCAGGGACAGGGGAGCCTGGTGGGCTGCCGTCTATGGGGTCGCACAGAGTCGGACACGACTGAAGCGACTTAGCAGCAGCAGCATGAAAAAAAACTGACTCCTTACCAAATACAACTGAGGTCGGTACAGTGCAGGGCAGTAGCCGCTATTCACATGTGCTTATTTACTTTTTAAATTGAAATAAAATTAAGTATTTAGTCTCTCTGTTGCTCTACCCACATTTCACACGTTCAGTTGCTGCTTCTGGCCAGCGGCTGAGAATTACATATTAGAGATGTGAAAACTATTACCTTAGTTTGTCGGACAGTGTTTCTCTAGCTGGATTAAACATCACCATGAAAGGTCAACTATAAAGTTGATGGAGGAAAATAATTGATAACCTAGGGGCAGAGAAGGACTTCTGAAAACCCCAAAGGAATAAAATACGAAGGAAAAAAATATAAATTTGATTATGCCAAAATTAATTTTCTTCAAGGAAGGACATAATGGGCAAATGTACTGGGTTTCAGAATGGGAGAAAATATTTGCAAATCCTAACATCGTTAAGATATATCTTTTTTAAATAAGAAAAAGAGCATTCCTTACAGAAAAATGGGCATACACAATGGTATAAACAAGCAACTAAGGAAAAAATTCCAAAAACCAACAAGGATATGCACCGGTGCTCAAGCTCATTAGTAATCAGAGAAACACAAATTCCAGGGACTTCCTTGGTGGCCCAGTGGCTAAGACTCCAAGCTCAGAATGCAGGGGGTCCAGGTCAGGGAATTGTTAATATATCCCGCATGCTGCAAGTAACTTTCCATGTTGCAACAGAAAAAAGAGCCCGCTTGCCGCAACTAAGGATCATACAATGCTGTAATGAAGACAGATCTCAATGCTGCAACTAAGACCCAGTGCCACAAATAAATTAATAATAAACATTTACTTTAAAAAAAAAAAGCAAGTTTTAACAATGAGCTATCATTTTAACACTACGAATCTGGTAAAAATTAATGTCTGTTTTAGTCAAATGAAGTGCTCCGAGTGCGAATCGCCTAACAATTCCACTCTTGGGTCACTTCCCAAAGAAATTCTCTCTTGGGACCATGAGGGGGCGTGCCCAAGGATGTTCACGGCAGCAGTCTATGTGGGAGCTGAGAAAAGCCAGGGCCCACCTGTGCCCACAGGAAGAAGCCAAGCCAACTAAGTCTGCAGATCAAAAATTGTGGATATAAAATAGTCCTGGCTTCCCAGATGGCTCAGTGGTAACAAACCCGCCTGTCAATGCAGGAGACTGAGGTTT